AAAGGAGTATTTTTTATTGAAGCATAGGTGATTCGCAGCGCTGTATCCATTTCTGATGTACAGCAAAGTGATTCAGTTATACCTTTATATATATACTCTTTTTCTTATTCTTTTCTGTTATGGTTTATTAAAGAATATTAAATATAGTTCCTTGTGCTATGCAGTAGGACCTTGTTGTTTATTTATTTTATATACAGTAGTTTGTATCTTCTGGAGAAAGCAGTGGCACCCCACTCCAGTACTCTTGCCTGGAAAATCCCATGGATGGAGGAGCCTGGTAGGCTGCGGTCCATGGGGTCGCTAAGAGTCAGACACGACTGAGCGACTTCACTTTCACTTTTCACTTTCATGCATTGGAGAAGGAAATGGCAACCCACTCCAGTGTTCTTGCCTAGAGAATCCCAGGGACAGAGAAGCCTGGTGGGCTGCCGTCTATGGGGTCGCACAGAGTCGGACACGACTGAAGTGACTTAGCAGCAGCAGCAGTTTGTATCTGCTAATCCAAAACACCTAATTTACCCCTCTTTCTTTGCCTTTTGGCAACCATAAATTGTTTTTTATGTCTGTGAATCTGTTTCTGTCTTATAAATAAGTTCATTTGTATCATATTTTAGATTCCACATATGAGAGATATCATATGGTATTTGTCCTTCTCTCAGACTTACTTCACTTAGTATGATAATCTCTGGTTGCATTCATATTGCTTCAAAAGGCATTATTTTTGTTTTTTATGGCCAAGTAGTATTTCACTGTGTGTGTGTGTGTGTGTGTGTGTGTATTTTATATATACAAAATAGACATATATGTGGCTTTCCAGGTGGCACTGTTGATAAACAACCAATCTGCCAATGCAGGAGATACAAGAGACTTGGGTCCCATTCCTGGATCAGGAAGATCCCTTGGAGGAGGGCATGGCAACCCACTCCAGTATTCTTGCCTGGAGATTCCCCTGGACAGAGGAGCCTGGTGGGCTATAGTCCATAGAGTCTCAAAGAGTTAGACATGACAGAAGCAACTTAGCACCCACACATGCATATATATATCACAGCTTTATTTATTCATCTGTCAATGAACATTTAGTTTGCCTCCATGTCTTGGTTACTGTAAATAGTACTTCTATGAACATTGGGGGTACATGTGTCTTTTTGAATTATGGTTTTCTCAGGGTATATACCCAGTAGTAGGATCGGTGAGTCATGTGATATGTTTATTCTTAGTTTTTTAAACCCAACTTTGTACTGTCCTCCATAATGGTTGTACCAATTTACATTCCCACCATTCCCTTAAAAATGCTTATTCTAACACAACACTGTAAAGCAATTATCCTTCAATTAAAAAAAGTTTAAATGCTTAGAGAGGACTTATGAAAAATTATTCCATAAGTACATATCAAATTTGAAATTATTACACCAACATACTGTAAAATCATTTTGAAAGACAATACAGCTTTCTCAGAATTTATAATCAAAACTTGGGGATATTTTATAGAAATGCTTTTTAACCCTGCATTGTTAAAAATATTCTCTTTAAAAGTAGGGCCTACATTTCTGGTACATTTCCAATGAAACCCTTGTGGAATCTGATACACTCAGGCTCTGGGTGCTCAGTAAAAATCATGGGTAGTCATTAGGTTATCAAATAGGCCTTTGACTAATTTCCTCTATTAGATAAGATATATTAAATATGTATTATATGTAGAATGTATATTATAAATATATAATATAAATATCTATAATAAGTATGTATTATAATAAATTTCCTCTATTAAATATGATAAGTAAATTTTTACATTCCAAAAATGATACAGGTTCCTTAATTGTAAAACATGTCTGGCTTGTATTATAATTTGACATTAAGTATTAAGATGCCTAAAACCTTTCCCACACTTTAATAACCCAGTGGTGTTATTTCTGAGAAACTAGCCTAAGGTTGTAATCAAGGAATGAGAACTTTTATGCACAAATATTCATTAATTTTTTGCTAATAAAAGTGCTTTTTCTTTTAAATGTGGGTTCATGGTCCAAAGTTAAAGAAAGATTGATGTAACTGACCTGAGACAAATGTAACTAACCCAAAATGGAGGAATAGTTAAGTGAGTCATGTATCTGTCTATTAACGCAACCATAAAAATTCATATTTACAAGGAGTTCACAATGGCATGTTAAACTGCTTATAACATTACCTACAAAAGGAGTAGAAAACATATTATACAGTAATTGTATACAATTATACAACTGAAATATTTAAAGCTTGCTAATAAAAACTAGCCATGAGGGGACAACATCAAAGGAAATGCTTCAAAAAGATTCACTCTTTTTTTCTTCTATTTTTAGACATTTTCCAAATTGTATCTAATGTTCATACCTATCTCTATAATGGGGGAAAATGTCACTTTATTAAGGGTGGCATGGAAGGAGAAGGACAGAAAACAAGCCTGAGAGTGTTGGTGTTAGGATAGGGTGTATAAAGCTAAAGTATGCGTAAGTTCCCACTTAAGGACTCAAGTGTATTCATAACAATAGTATTCAATATTTTCTGCCAAGTGTTATTCTCAAGTGGAGTTGGGACTTGTCCTTTAAGTTCATTCTGAGCTCAGTATTGAGAAGTGCTTTCCTATTGTTTCAACCCTACTCAGCAAATACTGTTGCTTTGAGGAAGCCCAGGTGGTTCCGTGGTAAATAATCCACCTGCCAATGCAGGAGACAAGGATTCAATCCTTGGGCTAGGAAGATCCTCTGGAGAAGGAATGGCAACCAGCTCCAGGGTTCTTACCTGGAGAATCCCATGGACTGAGGAGTCTGGCGGGCTACCGTCCATGGGGTCGCCAAGAGTCAGACATGACTTAGCGACAGAGCACACACTGCACACCCCCTGGTAACCATCCCCTGGTGACAGGTTCCCACCACCCAAGTCATGTCCTTGGGCAAGAATGCAAGGACAAAGAATGGGCAAAGAATGCAATTCTCTGGCAAGAGGAGGCAAAGAATTCAAACACAATCATCACCAGGCCCCGGTAAGAGGCGGTGCTACCCTGCTTGTGAAATCACACTGCAGGAGTTCTTTGTCAGGTACTGGCTAAATATTAATATATCAACCAGTGGCTGGGGACCATCTTTCCCTTCCATCTGGGATGGGAAAAAAAAAAAAGACAACAGTATCACTGAGGGTTCTTTTTAAGCCACAGAAATCAAAAGGGGCTAATTTAAACCAAAATTGATTGTAAATTGAGTCCCAGGACTTCCCTGGTGGTCCAGTGGTTAAGACTTTGCCTTCAGTGCAGGGGGTGTGGATTTAAGTCCTGGTCAGGGAGCTAATACCCCACATGGCATTCCAAAGAACCAAGGCATAAAACAGAAGCAGTATCATAACAATTCAATAAAGATTTTTCTTAAGAAAAGAAATTGAGTCCTTTACAGAAGGAAAAACTAACCATGTCCTCCTGAAGAATATGAACCAGAACTCTCCATCAGGGGCATATGGACAATCCCTATTGGGTAGTACTATCAGACTCCGCTTCCACCAGGTCTAATCTTATCAGTTCACTTATGACTAAAATTCCCTGTGGAGAAACAGCTAAAGAACCATCTTAGACCATGTGCTGATGTCCCTTGGCCAGAAGAAAGTCCCACCAGGATCTCGTGGAATAGAAAGAAGTCATTCCTCAAAGATAGGAGAACCACACATTGGCGTTTGCCCTAGACAATCCCAATGTGTACCTGTTTTCCAGGAATAACTATAAATAGCATCAATTTTGCTCACAAACATGTGTAAGTTTGGATAAGAAATTGCATGATCACTCCACACAAAGGAAAAACAGGGCATTGTTAACCAAAGTGGGGAAAGTAGTGCTGAGCTGGTGCCCACCATTCCAATGAGACTCTTAGAGGAGGTCAACACAAAGTGTTTTGCACCCAATCTCTCAGGTCAAAGAATCACAGTCAAAAGTCTTTGTCAGTCTTCTGCTTTAGACTCCAACATGAAAATAACATTCCTGTACTCACCCCCTATGTTTTGAATTATTATGACTTTGACCCAATAATTCTATTCCCTTGTCTTCCTATGTCCTCCTGCTAAACTAACTCCTAACTGTTAAAATGTTCTCTTTTTACTGCTGCTTTTTTAGCTTAATTTGTGCTCTTCTGCTTTCCAAAATAGAATGTTAACATCCATTCACCCAGCTGGAGGGTCAGGGTGATACCAGAGTCGACATTCCCCAAAGCACGTGTAGAATAGCTGCCATACCCCTCTTGCTGACTAATAATGAATCAAATAGCACCTTTTCATTCTGATTTCCTCTGAGAGGCTGTTCTACAAGCATGGGGTCAACTTAAAGAAACAGGGTTTTTGTGTAAAAATTTCTCCTTTCATTAGTGCACTTAAATTACTTTCTTGCAAACTCTGCTTGTTACCTAAATGTACTAGCACTTTTGTTACCTAATTAGCTTTCTTATCAGAATTCCAACCAAAAATAACAAGAAATGTAATAATGATAAGGTATCCTGCCCCCTCCAAACAGATTTCCTTTCGCGCTTTATCTCTAGGTACTGTTCTGGCTTGTTTTAATTAAAGTATCAGAAATTATTAGGCTCAAATTATTTCTTGATCTAGTGCTCAAATTCTCCTGAAAAACTGCTCCTTCTGCCTCCGTATTTAAACCTTTATCAGCCTGAGGCAGATGAGTTTCCACGTGTTTGCAACTGGATTCATGTAATTCAATATAAATTTTGGAGGAAAAGCCTAATTTAGCCCCTAAGTAATTAGACAAACAAATCAGATTTGGCCACACTGAGCACCATGGTTCAACTACTCATGTCTCTTTTCATGTTCTCTTGGATCATGAAAATGAACATTAACGTGCAAAAAAAAGCCTTAGGAAACTTTCACAACTTGGAGTTGTGAAATTCAAAGCAAAGATCTTATTTATTTTTTCATTAGAGGGATGGGGGCAAAAATCACCAAGTTCAAACCACTAAGGTAAATAGTATTCAAGGAGGGTAGTCATGTCTGTTACAGGCTTTAAAAACACCGATGAGAGGGTACCCTTAAATCACAGCATCGAGAAGGAGAAAACCATAAGACATATTGGTTATTTGTTCTCCTCATACTCTGTGCAAAAAATTCAGGTTGGAATCTGTTTGCTTCTAGCAGAGCTGTGTGAGAGGTTCGTTTTCTTCGAAGTCGTCTGCAATATGATTCCCTTCTGTATTGTCAAGCTTGGTAATCGCAATTACCAGGCCGCCATTTTGAACCTGTGTTTTATTGGAGCGTCAATCCTTACCCGGGTGTTTGCAGGTTGGCTTGCTGATGTCTGCCTAGGAAGAAACAAACTGGTCCATATTTGCTTATTTCTGCATTTTCTAGGTGAGTGTCCACTTCTGACTGGATTGTTTTACAACTTATTTTAGTGGATTTTTATTCGAATGTTCGATTTATGTTATTCCTACCTTGTTTTTAGCATAAAGTGTAATAAATGAGCCTAGAATGTTGTTTCAATTTATTTTATTCTCTGTATAATTTGAGAGATACTCGTAAGGATGTATGTATGTGTGTGTGTGTCTCTATGTGTGTGTTAGAAGTTGCTTTGATACCTTTATCATTGCAGTGATTATATTTTATATTAATTATCTCTTCAAATGTCTGTCTTCTGTAGAATGCCCTCTTTTTCCCCCTTTCTATCACAAGCCCAAATTTGTGACAAATTCTATGTGAAATGTGACGTTCATTTGCTTCACAATTAAAATGAAATGTGCTAAAAAGGTGTTTTGAAGTTCATGTAGAATAACTGAGAAACATTTTCATGAAAAAAGGTCTTTTAATTAGTCATATAGTAATTAAGATTGCATTAGAATACATGATTTCCATGTTATGAGCTATGGTTACCTGCTAAAAAAATGAGTGAATTTAACACTACCTATGCTACTTTACATAGCAAAGAAAGAAATATATCCTTAAAATTTGGGAAGCGAAGTGATTGCAAGCAATGTTGGGAAAATATCAAGTTTGTTTGATAAGGTATAGAGACCAAGTTGGTGAACAGTCTAGAAATTTAGACTGTGAAGTTCAAGGTGGTTTTCTAGACACAAAGGAGTTACTGAAGATGAGATGAACACATTTGGGAAATCTTTCAATAAACAATCACAGTGAGAGGTTAGAGAGAGAACAGAAAATCTCAGGACACTGGTCTAGGTGATGGAGAAGTATCAATCCAGGAAAGAACATAAAACCATAAAAAAAAACTCATTAACAAAATAAGGGCACAAATATGATGGAAGGACAGAAATTAACTCCAGGTTCTGAGTTGAGGAACTTAGGAAGGTAGTTCATCAAAACCAACCAGTGCAGCAGAAATGCAGTTTTGGGCGATGGGGAAGATGATGAGGAAGTGATGGGTAGCAGGTATTCAGCCTGTGCACATTTCCATCAGATGGTCAAGTACCAGTCACTGAATCAATCAGAGTGTGATTCAAACTTGGAAACTGCTTCAGTTCTGTGAAACATGAACTAAGTCACTGCATGGCAAATATTCATTCACCATTCCACAAATGTTTCTCGTTGACTACTAGGCATCGTTCCAGGTTTTGGAATGTAACAGAGAAGAAGGCAGTCTCTGCTTATGAAGCTAACTTTCTCAAATGGGACATGAGAAAATCAAGAAATAGCTATTTTGTTGGGTGGTAATGTACAATGGACCCACTCCAGTGTTCTTGCCTGGAGAATGCCAGGGATGGGGGAGCCTGGTGGGCTGCCATCTGTGGGGTCGCACAGAGTCAGACAGGACTGAAGTGACTCAGTAGAAGCAACAGCAGCAGCAATGTACAATGATGAAAAATAAAGCTGGGGAAGTGGACAGGACAGACTAGATAGTGACAAGGCTGCTCTTCTGTATCAGGGACTATTTTCTGATGAGGAGGCATTTAAGCATGATTTACTCTTTTTTACTTGGTAACAGACTACATAGTAGTGTACACATACATCAGTGCCAATCACCTTTGCAGATAAGATCATCTATATCATTTTTCTAGATTCCACATATATGTGTTGATATGTGTTATTTGTTTTTCTCTTTCTGACTTACTTCACCCTGTATGATAGTCTCTGGGTTCATACATGCCTCTACAAAGGACCCAATTTCATTCCTTTTTATGGCTGAGTAATACTCCATTGTATATATGTACCCCATGTTCTTTATCTGTTCCTCTGTTGATGGACATTTGGAAATCCAAAAAACATGAAATATATGTATATGTATACATAGAGCTGATTCACTTTGCTATACAGTGGAAACTAACACAATATTGTAAAGTAACTATACTCCAATAAAAAATTTTAAAAAGAAAAATATAAGCAATTCATGCTAAAAAAAAAAAAACCCAAAAAAGTTTTCTTTAACAGGCTTCTGAGTTGCCCAAGATCATAGTGTTTTCTCTATTGACTAAGAACAAATAACCCTTGTGAAAGGTGGTTTTCTTTGAGGGGTGGGAGTGCAGACATCTTTAGTATCTCACATCAAGTGTTTCTGAATTGTTTTAATTTTGTTAAAATGGACTTGATTTGTTCTCCCAAAAACCTTTCTCCCATCCAGGCTGCCACATAACCCTGAAAAGAGTTCCATGTGCTGTACAACAGGTCTTTGTTGATTATCTATTTTAAACATAGCAGTGTGTGTATATGTATGGCTGAGTCCCTTTGCTATTCACCTAAAATTATCACAACATTGTTAATCGGTTATACCCCAATACAAAATAAAAAATTCCTCAAAAATGGACATGATTTGTTTATGCATTCTTAGAGGTGGTTTGAGTTTGAGGGAAAAATAAACTAGGACTCTGGATTCATTAAAAACACATATTGAGGGAAATATTTACTTTTAGGAAAATTATATTACCTCCAGAATTGCCATGATTAATATTTTAACAAGATTGTCACAAGACGAGGCTACATTCAGCAGAAAAACTTTATTTCTGGTGTGCTTTGGTGAGTCAGTGGTCTATGCATATTTATTTATCTTTTTCTCCATCTACAGGCTCTGCTTTATTATCTGTGGCTGCCTTTCCCTTGGAGGATTTCTACATAGGCACTCACCATCTGATTAACAACGTACCCAGAAAAGAGCACAGGAGGCTATTTCACGTAGCACTGTTGGCTGTCTGTCTCGGCACAGGAGGAATCAGAGCTATAGTCTATCCATTGGGTGCTTACAGCCTTCAGGAGTGTGGATCCCAGAAACGAACATGCCTTTTTAACTGGTAAGTAGCGCTAGCTAGGAGAGAAAACAGGCTTATGACATCCTTTTCCCTTTGTGCATTTCTCACTGTTTGCTCTCTGGTTCCCTTTTGATGGCAGTCATTCAGTCTTTGCCATTGATTGGGCTGGGTGACAGTGAGATACCTGTGACAGTGATTAAGCCAGTAGTCCTGGGGGCCTATGAGTCAGGTATAGACCAATACAGCTTACCGGCACCTTTTTGAAACACATTGATGAATTTGTCTTCCACATAAACAAGTGTGAGATGGTGTGTCATATTGAATAGAAGATGGTTTTGGAGCCAAACAGGCCTTGGTGGAAATCTCAGCTCTACACAATTGCCTGATCTTAGTCATGCCATTTATTCTTTATGAGTTTAACCATTTCTGAAGGGTTATCATAATACCTCTCCTTGGATTTTCTTAGAGGTAATAATATGTATATTGCTGGCAGAGAACATGGCACATAGTACTAATCAATAAGTAATCAATATGTTGTTTTTCTTAGTTATGTCTACATTGTAATAGACTAATTCAGCTGGGATTATAAATTCAGCAAGAAGATGAGAAGGATGGAAGAAGAATTTTACTTCTTAAATATCCATTAAAGCATCAACCAACATCTCTATTTTACATTTACTTCACCCCCAGCACCTGACAGAATTTCTAGTCCCTAGAAATCAAACCACATTTCTATGAGTCTTTCTCTCCCAGTGAGTTCTTTTACAGTGTTATGGATTTCTAAAGAACCAATTTTAATTATCAAATGCAAATTCAAGAAAAAATTGAAATTTTGATCTTAAGAAAAAGTAGTTCAACACTTAGTAGAGAACTTCGTTGTTACTGTCATTCATCAGTGGATATCAGATATATCTGAGATATGTTTCTTTCTTCCTCTTCTCTGTGAAATGAGCTAGCAACATTTTTCTAAAATATTGCCTTTTCCACCAGTGTTAGCAATAGATAAAAGGAAAGCAGAAATAACATCAGACAAAATGTCTAAAGAGAACTCATATTTAAAGCATTAAATGAAAAAATTATAAAAATATTATTTAGGTATTATTACATGTGGCTATCTGAGACAGTTCATTTTTTTCTTTCTGTCTTTCTTTCTTCCTTCCTTTCCTTCTCCCCACCCTCCTGCCATATTATATTAATATTACAAAGCACTCAGGCCTATTTTGGATTAAGTCCAGATGAAAGAGAATAATGCTATTTTACCAAAGGTGGAAGGAACTCTTTACTTCCTTACAGCAAATTCTGCCTCCTTGACCTGCCCAAAGGAGAAAGAAAAATCTTTCTTTTTATTCTATTCGGAGGTTTTAATCCTTAATTAGCAACATCATTTTGATTAAATAAGACTCTGGAGGATTAAGACTAGAGAGCAATCAGTTGTTCTGAAAGATAGCTCTGGAGAATTTATTGTACTGTGGTCTTAGTCATTCAGAGTTGTGTTTAATCAAAGTGACATTTCTCAGCGTTGATTACAAAGGAGACATTATATGAATGAAATATTTCCTCGGGGAAATGGAGGGGACACCCAATGGGTTTGTGCTTTAGGACATTGGAAAGGGGGATGAGGGATGGGGTGAAAATGAATTTCTGCAGCCAGGCCATATTTAAGATGAACACCTTTAGATTGGGTTACTTATTATTTTCTGATTTCATTAAAATCTCTGATAAAGGGATCATGCAACATTTTTTAAAATTAAGGGCGCTGAGAAAGGGATATAAAGAATCATAGAGTGTTATTCTTTAACATGATGAAAGACTGTAGAAATAATAAGCTCCTCGAAGGCTGAAGATGGTTGTTTTTTCTTTCTCAGTTCAAATACTAAACTATGGGGAAACTTTTATGAACAGCTGCTTGTTGCAGTTTATAGAAATGAATGTTCATTCTATTCTTGTATGTTCTGCAGGGGTTGGTGGCAAGATGGATAGAACCCTTGCTGGGCAGCCAGACAGCTGGCAGGAACCTGGCTGTGTCACTTAGGTATCTTACGGTTTTCGGCAAGTTTCTTCACCTCTCAAAGCCCCAGGTCCCTCAACCACAGAATGTGGATGCCTTGGAGGGCTGTTTTGGAGTTTTTACGCAAAGTACCAAGGCACATTATAGGTATTCAAATCAGTGTAGCTATGACCAGTGTTATTCAATGACAAATCAGCTAAAGTCATCTTCCAACTTCTGGGAAAGAGGAAGGCTATTTAGGAGAAGGTCATCTTTAAAATGAGCAGTCTATTGATTTATCATCTATTTCTTCAAATCAGAAATGCCCCTAGAAATTACAAGCCTGGTTAATATAATGAATTTCAGTAGTGGCTTTTGAAAAAGCAACATACCACTTGAATCCATAACCACTTGAAGGTTGCATCCAGTTCCGGTTTCAGCACAGATGTCAGATGTTCATAGTTACGGGACCCTTAATGAGATGTGTCATTGCATCTCTACCACCTAACGCTTCCCAATGATCATGTGAAAATAGTGGAGACTGGAAGTCTCAGGCATTGAAAGCACCACTTCCGAGTGGAGCTGCCAAATGTAGGTGAGAAAACCTCTCCCAGCCAACATCACCATCTGGTACTGGATCATCCTCAAATATGTACCTCATTGAAAGAATAAAGCTAAGCTCCCTGAAATCAAGAGGCATAATAATCTGCCAACTTCTCCTTGTGCCATCATCCAGAACTGAACCTGGCTCTTTCAGCATTTTCCAAACTCTGAGGTGTACAATTAAGAGTTACCATACTGGAGGTCATATAAATAAATACACCTGTGCAGAATCTTTTCTGGAAGCAAACTGAATGGTGGATAATAAGTCTGTTCATGACTGTAATTTTAAATCCTACCACAGTTAAACTTAAATCTTGCTCCCTCACATCTCTACTTTGGGTTTCCCTGGTGACTCAGATGATAAAGAATCTGTCCACAATGCAGGAGACCCAGGTTCGATCTCTGGGTTTGGAAGATCCCTAGAGAAGAATAACAACCCACTCCAGTATTCTTGCCTGGAGAATTCCATGGACAGACAAGCCTGGTGGGCTACAGTTTATGAGATCGCAAACAGTCAGACATGACTGAGCGACTAACATTCACTCACTCATATCTCTACTTACTTCACCTGATAATTTGCATCCCGTCTGCATATCATAGGCTATTGTGAACCAGTTACCAGAGTGAATTCTACATGCTGTAAAGGTTCAAATAGTATATTGGTAAGTTTCTTGTAAAAGCCTAGAGACTGAATTATTCCATCCCTGAAATTCTGATTATCTGGTACTCAGTTTGACTCTACATAATATATGTCTACTACTAAAGTGTTCTGATTTAAAATACTTACTCAGATTTAATATTTTTTATCTTAGGAAAACACTAGAGGTAAAAAATTATTATCCCACAGCCTTTTTTTCAAACCTGTTGTAATATTTTACTAAAATATTGTCTGACAGAAAGTGAAAGTTAGTCACTTAGTTGTGTCTGACTCTTTGTAACCCCATGGACTGTAGCCCACCAGACTCCACTGTCCATGGGATTCTCCAGGCAAGAATACTGGAGTGGGTTGCCATTCCCTTCTCCAGGGCATCTTCCCAACCCAGGGATCAAACCTGGGTCTCCTGCATTTCAGGTGGATTCTTTACCAGCCAAGCCACCAGGGAGTATCAGAGTATTGTCTGAGAGAAGTGATTCTCAAACCTAGATGTCCAGGAAAGCTTAAAAATACTGATGCCTGGACCTTGCCACCAGAAATTCTGATTGTGTTAATTTGAGGTGGGAACCAGAGACGAAGCTTTTTTTTTTAAGCTGCCTAAGTAGTTAGGTTTGAGAACCACTGCTCTCAAGCAGTGTTGCCTGATTTTAAGAACCACTTGACGATTTTGTTAAAAAATGTTTCCCATAACTCTGCTTAAAGCAGTGTGATGACTTCAGTGGGAAGGAAATTCAAAAGGGAGAGGGTACATGTATGTGTATGGTTGATTCATTTTGCCGTACAGTAGTAATTAACACAACATTGTAAAGTAACTATATGCCAATAAGAATTAATTAAAAAACAAAACAAACAAACAAAAAACATTGCCCATGTCCCTACCTCCAACTTCTCAGATCAGAATTTCCTGGGAGCGTAGCTGGGGAATGTGCATTTTTACCAAGTGCTTGAGAATTTTGAAAACAGTTCCAGAGACTTAAGAAAAGAGAACTCCACACATGGTCTGGATTCTTGAAAAGAAATGGAGCTAAACACTGATGGAAGCACTTATATTGTACCAAGATGCTTCAGAAAATTTTGATGATTCATAACAGTTTTTCTTTACCACTCCAGAAATCTACCTGATTGAGAAATCCTACCTAATCCTTGAGGAGAAAAACAAAATATGAAATTACACAATTTTGCAATGGTAAAATGACCTTTATCAGGTCATTCATAATTTACAAGATCCATTTCAGCTAACAAAATCAAAACAGCTCTTGGCATAGTCTTATTAGAACTCATTTCTTATTAGTACTCATTAACATGGACATAACTCTTTTTATTGCTTTGCTTTATTGTGCTTCACAGGGAATAGAATTTTTAAGTTCAAAAATGTATAAATTTTTATGAATGGTAAATTTTATAAAATTTACAAATTGCAAGTTAATGCAACCTTGTGTGTAGTAAGTCTATTGGTGCCATTTTTTCCAACAGCCTTTGCTGACTTTGTGTCTCTGAAGCATCTGATAATTCTCACAGTATGTAAACTTCATTATTATTATTTTATTTATTATGGTGATCTGTGATCAGTGACCCTTGATGTTACTACCACCGTGCACTCAAGGCTCAGATGATGGTTAGTATTATTTAACAATAAAATATTTTTAAGTTAAGGTAAGCACATTATTTTTTTAGGCATAATGCTATTGCATGTTTAATGCATAGTTTAATGCATAGTGTAAACATAAGTTTTATATACATTGGGAAACCAAGAAGTTTTTGCACCAGAAACTTCATGCCCCCTGTTATATCTTAGTGGTCTGAAACCAGACCCATAATATTGATATCTTCAAGGCATGCTTGCACTCAGAATATCTTCTAAGTTGAATAGTGAGGAATAGCTTGTAAACAGTTTTTTTAAAACACCACTAGACCTTCCAAAATTCTATTTGCTTGGGCTCCAGCCAAGTTTAACAAATGTGCCCACTCACCGTAGTGACAACAGGCACCTCTTCTGTTATCTTTGCCAAAATTGTCAGCATTCAGAAAATACACTCAGAATTCCTCTCTAACATGCAATGACAAACTAAACAGTATTGAGAAAAGGAAAAAAAAAAGAAAGAAATCTCTTACATTTCTTACTGATACTGCAGCTTCCTGCTTTTTCTTTAGGCCTGTGTGGTGGCTTTTAAGCTGTAGATGCATCAATAGTGATTTATTGTCATCAATAAACATGCAGTGGTTCAAATATCTTGAACTCAGAAAATGATACACCTTTTTTTTTTTTAAAAAAAAAAAAAAGAAAGCAACAGAGTAAATTTGAAGACATAGTGGGCTTTATTTATTAGGTCATTCATGAATTGGGGAGCATCTCTTCTAACAACCGAAAGAGTACTTTGAAGGATTGTACAAAATGGAAGGCTTTTGTAAGAAGAAGGGTGGGGCAAGAGAACTATTAGCAAAAGAAAATAAAGCATTGTTTTGGGGCCAGTATATCTTCTTCTGAAGGTGGGTGTTGGAAAGGGAATGGCAAGGGTTATACCACATAGGTTGCTGCTTTTTCTCCTGAGGGATGGAGAGGTTCACAAGACAGATGACTTCACTGATGCTGACCAGAACACTCCAGACTGGTTGATTACATTTCTGGGGAGGCTCAAAACTTCAAGTAAGTCATGTATCTAAGTCTAGGTTTGATATCATGAACTTTAGCCCAAGTGATATTATTTTGGGCCTGGTTTTCTCTTCAACAACATTAACAACTGTTAAAATTGGGATGTTGAGAGAAGAAAGGGAAATAAAGACAGAAAGGAAATGAGAGCAAGTTAGAAGAGTGAGAGGCAGGGACAGCAAAGAAAGAGGATGAAGCGTTCCCCTGAATTTCTTGATTAAAAATAAACCTTTTACTTTAATCGTGCTGCCTGTCCACCAAAATCAATGATCGTCTTTTATTAAGCTGTCTTTTCTTTAATAGCATTGTTGAAAAATACTTACAGATGAAAAGTAGAAAAAAATTATATAAATGAATTTCTTTACAAAACAAAAACAGACTCATTAATTTTGGAAACAAATTTACAGCTAACGAGGGGAAACTTAGCAGGGAGGGATAAATTAGGAGCTTGGGATGAACACACAGATACTACTGTATTACTGTTGTTTAGCTGGTCAGTCATGTCCTACTCTTCTGCAAACCCGTGGACTGTAACCCTCCAGGCTCCTCTGTCCATGGGATTTCCCAGGCAAGAATACTGGAGTGGCTTGCCATTTTCTTCTCCAGGGATCTCCCTGACCAAGGCTCGAACTTGGATCCTGTATTGGCAGGCAGGTCCTTTAACACTGAGCCACCTGGGAAGCCCACGCTACTATATTTATATCATAGATAATCAACAAGGACCTATTGTGTAGCACAAGGAATGCTGCTCAATATTCTGTAATAACCAGGTGGGAAAAGAATCTGAAAAAGAATGAATATATGTACTATTTAACTGATTCACNGACTGAACTGAACTGAATGAATGGGCCAGTGGTTATGCTAGAAGGAGCAGTGACTGACAACCGCATCCACCATGAAATCAGCACCCCAGTGTTACACTGACTCTTCTAAACAGTTCAATTTTAACCCACTGAAGAGCCACAAATCCTGGTGAAGAGTCACCATAATCCTGGTGAATTATCTCAGTATCATTCCATGAAGAATAACATATTCTCTCTGAACTCTTAAAATTGTCCACTAAGGCTTGGGATGCCTGGAAGTTTTCCTCCCCTCTTTCATTATGTTCTCAAGTAGGATGGAAAGCCCATTTCAAACTGTGTCTCTTATAATAACTTAAAATAAGTCTGAAGCATGTCAAAATTGGTCATTCTAAAAAATGACAAAACGTTTGAGTGACTTTAAAAATTATTGCTAAATAAATTATGGTGAATTTTAAAATTATTAATCCCAAAAGGTTTGCTAAATTTTGCAGCAATAAGGTTTTTCCCCTTTATTTGTATTCAACACTGTGGAATCATGAAGACCAAAAAAAAAAAAAAATTACCATTTATATATACTCCCAATTATTTGCAGTTCCCAGTCTGTGTTTAAAAGTGGACTAAAGAAACATATTTTTACTGCTGCTTTCAATTTTCCTTAATCACTGGTATTTATTTTGCTTTAGTGCTTTGCTCTCTGACTTTCTGTGTGAGAGGTGCTTTATATATTCAATTTGCTAGTGAGCTATGAGATGAAAGGAGTCTTAATGGTGAATTTGAAGACTGTGGACTTTTATTTCTTTTATTTTTTTTTTACAGTTGATACATATATAATTTCACCCTTAATTATCTATGGCTTGTCCTGTCCGTGGATCAACAAAGACATATATAAAGCGTGATTGTACTAGGCAATTCTTTTAGAAAATTACACAATCAAATAGGTCGGGTGACATTTGTTAAAATACACTTAGTACTTTATGTGAAATCTCTTCCTATACAGAGATATTCAGCACTATAATTCTTTGGTTTATAACTATATTTCACAAAATGTAAGTCTTGGAAGAATTGTAATTTCCCTTGACCCTCTTTAGAGTAATTCTGTTTACATTCCCCAGTGGTGTACTGAAGAGTCTCACGGTGTCCTCTTGGATTTCTCTGCAATACTTAGCATTTGAAACAGGGTTTCTTAAAGATTAAAAAGGACTATAACATTGCTTGCAGCTCCAACTTCTCTTTGTTACTACCAGCCACAGTTCAAGTGTGCGGCTTGCAGAGGCGTTAAAGATGCCCTGAGGTAGAGCCAAGGGACTCTATCCCATTGTCCTAGAAGATTCTAACTTTGTACCTCCCCTGCATGGTGATAACTAAATCACTATTAGTAGATTATAGTCAGTCAGCTTACTCGGCATGACCGTGCTTGACATTTGATTACTTTCCTGTCAGTTATGGAGAGTAGATGTTCAAGATTTTGAATGGGGTGATCATTTCATGAGTGCATACATATTCAAAACTTAAATTGACAAGATGACATTGGTCAGACCACCATATGACCAATTTCAAGATGGCCGTCAGACTCACTGTACTGTTTCTATATGTAGCCCCCTTCCTCTGCTGATAAAAGCTCTTGCCCATTGATCGTCAGTGGAGGGGAGTCAGCCTTTGGACAGGAGTCTGCTCTCCCCTTGCCCCGGTTATCGTGTCCAACTCATTGTGACCCCATGGACTTAGCCCACTAGGCTCCTCTGTCTATGGGATTTCTCAGGCAAGAATACTGGAGTGGGTTACCATTTCCATCTCCAGGTAATCTTCCTGACCCAGGGATCAAACCTGGGTCTCCTGCACTGCAAGTAGATTCTTTACCAACTGAGCCACCAGGGAAGTCCCCTGCCCTAGTTGCTGGCACCCAAAACAAACCCATTTTTCCTTCCTACCAACTTTGCCTCTTTATTGGCTTTTGAGCAGTGAGCAACCAGACCCCACTTAATAAGTATGTATTTAAAAAGAAAGCTAATAAAGAGATGCAGATGGCCAACGGGCATATGAAAAGATGCTCAACATGTCTAATCATCAAGGAAATGCAAATCAAAACTACAATGAGATATTACTATCACTTCACACCCATCAGAACATCTATCATCAAACAGAACACAAATAACAAATGTTGGTGGGGATGTGGAAGAAAGGGAACACTTGTGCACTGGGGGTGGGAATGTAAATTGGTACAGCCACTGTGGAAAACAGCATGGAGGTTTCTCAAAAAACCAAAAATAGAACTACCATATGACCCAGCAGTTCCACTTCTGGGTATATATATCTGAAAAAACAAACAAAAAAAAAAACCCACTAATTTTGAAAAGAGTCATGCACCCCAATATTCATAGAAACATTATTTACAGTTTCCAACATATGGAAACAGCCTGTGTCCATCAATAGATGAATGAATAAAGGAGATGTGGTATATACATACAATGGAATACTACTCGGCATAAAAAAGAAAGAAATTTTGCCATTTGCAGCAACAAGGATGGAATTGGAGGGTATTTTGTTAAGTGAAATAAGTCAGAGAAAGACAAATACTGTCTGATATCACTTATATATAGAATCTAAAAAATGCAACAAACTAGTGAATATGACAAAAGAGAAACAGACTCACAGATAGAGAGAATGAACTAGTGGTTATGGGATAGGGGAATATAGAGGCTGGGGGAGTGGGAGGTACAAACTGTTGTATGTAAGATAGCCTACAAGGATGTATTTGTACAACATGGGGAGTAGAGCCACTGTTTTGTAACAGCTATAAATGGAGAATAGCCTTGAAATGAAAATTTTTATAGAATTTTAAAGATGGAATTTGAAAAAAAAGCTAATAATATTTGCAAAATCTAGTTTGGCTCATATACTACTACTTTAGAGCTTATGTTTATTAAAAGAATTAAAATTAGCAATTATTATATGAAGCTACTCAATGGCAATTTTATTTTTGTTTCTGATTCCCAGGTTTTATTGGATCATGAACCTGAGTGCAACTGTGGTCTTTCTGGGAATATCTTATATCCAGCACTCAGGGGCCTGGGCCCTGGTTTTACTTATTCCTTTTATGTCCACACTTATGGCTCTGATAACTCTTTATATGATGCACTATAACCTGATTTATCAGCCAGAAAAATGTAAGTAAATCTCACTTTACGTTTTTTTTTGTTTTTTGTTTTTATGGTTTTCTTGATACATCTTCTTCTCTTAGATTCCCTATAATTTCACTTTCAACTCAGAGAATCTGTAGAGTCTGTCACTTCACTTGAGAGCAGCAGACTATAAGAATATCAATAATCTCTATCTTATTTTTCCCTTGTTAAAAGAGTTTTACTAATGGAATATTTTAAGCATAAACAAAAGTAGAAAAAAATCATATATGAACCCTTCTATCTAACTCTCAGCTTTGACGATTCTCAATTCATTTCTACTCACTTTTTCCCCATCCCTACTGGTAGTTCTGAAGCAAGAACTAAATGCTTCATATGTGTGTGTGTATAAAAAGAAGCTATATATATGCTCAATACTTAAAAAATATAATCACAATGTCATTAACCGCACACAGAGAATTTCTGAAGATGATCAAGTATCTGTTAAAAAAATCTCTGTTTCCCTTTTAAAATTTGTTTATTTTGTTTTTTTATAATTTATTCAAATAAAATCCAAATAAGGCCCATATATTCCAAATGGCAGCTATGTCCCTTAAACCATATATATTTCCCCTTCATCTCTATTTCTCTCCTTTCAGTCTTTTTTCCTTAAGAAATCTGAACATTTCACATAATCTGAATTTTGCTGATTACATCCATTTAATGTCACCCAAAGGTTTTCCCTCTTTATTTCCCCTAAAATATCTGACAGACATAGATCCTTGATCAGATTCATATTTTTCATTTTTGGCAGAATTCCTTCACAGATGGTGTTAGGTACTTCACACTGTCTCATTATCTGCTTTTGCAGGGTCAGTACCAATTGATAATTTTTGTCTAAATCTTAGATCCCATTGGGGGTTGCAGGTTGGTGATATTCCATATTTCTTCCTCTTTTATTAACTGAAATAATTCTATAAAGAAATTCTATAAAGAAAAATTTTATTAGCTGAAATATATTCTCAATAACTATTTCATTGCACAGAAGTACAGTTTGTGTAAGGAAAAGAAGTTCAGTTCATTTTGGTTCAGTTGCTCAGTCATGTCCGACTCTTTGTGACCCCATGAACCATAGCACACCAGCCTCCCTGTCCATCACCAACTCCCAGAGTCCACCCAAACCTATGTCCATCAAGTTGGTGATGCCATCCAACCATCTCATCCTCTGTCATCCCCTTCTCCTCCTGCCCTCAATCTTTCCCAGCATCAGGGTGTTTTCCAATGAGTCAGCCCTTCACATCAGGTGGCCAAAGTATTGGAGTTTCAGCTTCAACATCAGTCCTTCCAATGAACACCCAGGACTGATCTCCTTTAGGATGGACTGGTTGGATCTCCTTGCAGTCCAAGGGACTCTCAAGAGTCTTCTCCAACACCACAGTTCAAAAGCATCAATTNCAGAAATAAATGTTCTTCTGGAACTCTCTTGCTTTTTTGGTGATCCAGCAGATATTGGCATTTGATCTCTGGTTCCTCTGCCTTTTCTAAAACCACCTTGAACATCTGGAAGTTCTTGGTTCACGTATTGCTGAATCCTGGCTTGGAGAATTTTGAGCATCACTTTACTAGTATGGGAGATGAGTGCAATTGTGCAGTAGTTTAAGCTTTCTTTGGCATTACCTTTCTTTGGGATTGGAATGAAAACTGACCTTTTCCAGTCCTGTGGCCACTGCTGAGTTTTCCAAATTTGCTGGCATATTGAGTTCAGCACTCTCACAGCATCATCTTTCAGGATTTGAAATAGCTCAACTGGAATTCCATCACCTCCACTAGCTTTGTCGTAGTGATGCTTCCTAAGGCCCACTTGACTTCACGTTCCAGGATATCTGGCTCTAGGTGAGTGATCACACCATCATGATTATCTGGGTCATGAAGATCTTTTTTGTATAGTTCTTCTGTGTATTCTTGCCACCTCTTCTTAATATCTTCTGCTTCAGTTAGGTCTCTACCATTTCTGTCCTTTATTGAGCCCATCTTTGCATGAAATGTTCCCTTGGTATCTCCAATTTTCTTGAGGGAAAAGATTATAAGTGTCTTAATTCTTTCCCTCTATTTTCAGATTTTCAAATTAATGAGGTGAACTTCAGTGTCTTCCAAAGATGATCTATTAGTTGTTTTTAACCTATTATTAAAAACAACTAACAGGTCATCTTTTAGTGACCCTGTGGACTGGGCTGTAGCCCACTAGTCTTCTCTGTCCATGGGATTCAGCCAGCAAGAATACTGGAGTGGGTTACTATTTCCTCCTCCAGGGGATCTTCCCAACCCAGGAATTCAACCCGCATATCTTATGTCTCCTGCATTGGCAGGTGGGTTCTTTACCACTAGTGTCATCTGGGAAGCCCATAGATTCCATATATATGCATTAATATACAATATTTCTGTCTTACTTCACTCTTTATAATAGGCTTTAGGTTCATCCCCTGCATTAGAACTGACTCAAATTCATTCCTTCTTATAGCTGAGTAATATTCCATTTTATATATGTACTACAATTTCTTCATCCATTAATCTGTCAATGGACATCTAGGTTGCTTCCATGGTCTACTACTGTAAATAGTGCTGTGATGAACAGCACTACAAGTTGTCACTGTTATTGAGTTGCTAAGTCATGTCTGACTCTTTGTGACCCTGTGGACTGTAGCCCACCAGGCTCCTCTGTCCATGGGATTTCCCAGGCAAGAATACTAGAGTGAGTTGCCATTTCCTTCTCCAGGAGATCTTCCCGACCCAGGGATTGAACCCACACCTCCTGCATTGCAGGTGGATTCTTTGCCCTTGAGCCACTAGCAGAGCCCTTTCATGCACAAGACTTTTGTCTATTTGCTTTGTCTTTGCATAGTTTATGTTTGAAATCAAATTTACCTATCTTCTTTATGTTTCTAGATTTTGAATTATGGTGAAAAAGTTTTCCTCACTCCCAGATTATAAAAGAATTCATTCATATTTCTTTTGGTGTGTGTGTGTGTATATATATATATATATATATATACCTTTATATCTGTGACCCATTTGGAAATTGTATTAGAATAAGTTTTAAAAAGTGAACTCAATTTTATCTTTTTCCATATGACTGTTTATTATCCAGCCTCTTATTAAAAAGTGTAATTTTTCCCACTGCTTTGAGGTGCCACCTTCCTGTATACCACCACTTGCATTTCTGGAATTTCTATTCTCTTTCTTTGATCAGTCACCCTGTTCATATTATCTCTCTTGTTTAAAAAAACTCTGATCTTAATTTCTAACATATTTTACTTTCAGTAGTACCTTCACTGTTACCACTATTTCTACCCCTTATCTATACAGCTACCACTAACAGCAATGCAAGAAGTTATATTTTTTTAAAATTAAGCACATTCACCATTTGTACTTCATTTCACCCCATACCAGTGAGGTGGGCAAGAAAGGCACAGCGTTCCCTTTTACAGACTATACTCCATGGACTTTGTTTCTGTTCTTGTACCATCCCGAGCTTTACTTTTTCACCTAGCACGTTGTGTTGAAATGGTCTATTTCTGAATACAGTTAAAAATTCATGTGTCAGTTTGGCAGAAATCAACACAATACTGTAAAGCAATTGTCCTTCAATTAAAAATCAGTGAAAATTGCTCAGTCGTGTCTGACTCTGTGACCCCATGGATTATACAGTCCATGGAATTCTCCAGGCTAGAATACTGGAGTGGGTAGCCTTTACCTTCTCCAGGGGATCTTTCCAACCCAGGGATCAAACCCAGGTCTCCGGCACTTCAGGCGGATTCTTTCCCACCTGAGACACAAGGAAAGCCCCCAATTAAAAATAAATAAATTTAATTATAAAAGAAAATTCCTGAGTCGTATACATACTTGGAATATAGTAAATGCTTAATGTTTGCTATTGTTAAACTGAGTGCAGAAGATGAGACATAATTGAATTTAATGAGTTGCCCAAGACGTCACAGGCAGTAGCTGATGTGGAACCAGAACCCAGATCTTACTTTTCTCAGGCTAGAGCTTTTTTTTTTTTTACACCACATACTGAGGCAGTGAGACAGGGAAAACATCACCCTGGAAGCCTCAGCCTTGTTTCTCCAAGTTCTGTGTTCTGTCCGTCATAGCTAGGCAATACCCAGCCTCCTGGCAGCCTGTGGAATGGGTTCATCATGCAAAAAGATGTCTGAGAGATCCTCTCTGTCAGCCCCAAAAGGCAAAAAAGAGGAAAATGTAAAGGAAGTATAAACTTTTGTCAAAAGACCACTTTGGCATATTCTGGAGTATGTAATTGTCACATAATTCTTCTTTTGTGAATGTGTTAGTCACTCAGTCATGTCTGACTGTTTGCAAACCCATGGACTGCAGCCTACATGCTCTTATGTCCATGGGATTTTCCAGGCAAGAATACTGGAGCAGGTTGCCATTTCCTAGTCCAGGGCTTCTTCCTAAGCCAGGGATGAAATCTGAGTCTCCTGCATTGTAGGCAGATTCTTTACTTTCTAAGTCAACAGGGAAGTTTATACATAATTTTTACATTCAGATTTTCTAAATATTCAGCATCCAACCATTTGCTTCATAATCTCCTATTTGAAAGTATATATTCATCTGAATAAAGAACTACAATTCTTCATACAAATCTATTTGATCAGCACTGTTTACTGCCAGACTACTGTAGTTCATATGCTACATATTTTAACATGTGATAAAATAACCTTTCTTTGGATAGTTACAAGAAAAAAATTGTATTAGCTGCAGGTAAAATTATAAACTGTTCACCAGCAGTTTACTTTACACAGTACTCTATAAAATGAATATTTTTGAGTTGTTTTGCTTTGTTTTGTTTTCTTTTTCAAAGTAATACAATCACCCAACTATGGTGAAGTAAAACTCTGTCCTCCCTCTAGAAAAGTATATCATCCTTATTTTGGCTTCTTCCTCTCTGATGACTAAATTGGAACTTCCTCAAAGCTGTAATTCAAAGCCATAGGTGACCTTAAAGAAATGATTTTTTATATGCTACC